CTGACAGAAAGTCTACAAGAAGTTATTGTGTATTTTTTCCTAGAAATTTGATTCAATGGTGTTCAAGGAAGCAAAAGTGATTGCTTTGTCCTCAAGATAGGCTGAGTATAGTATCTATTCAGGGTGCAACTGAACTAGCTGGATACTACATTTGTTTGAGGAATTGCAAATTCATATATCTTATGTTCCCATTCTTGGTGTGATAATTTAAGTGTTAAAGCATTGCAGAAATCTAGTTTTTCATGCAAGAATCAAGCATATTGAAATAGATGCGCATATGTTCGTGAATTGATTGCAGCTTAGTAATTGATTGTTCAGTTTGTTCCTTCTAAGTTTCAATTGACATATTTACTAACAAACCTTTATTAGTGGCCAGATTTGTTCAATTGAGAGACAAATTATCTATCTCTTGTTTGCATACTTTACAGGATTTATGTCAGCAGGATGACATTTCAACAGGGAGTTAGCAAACTAACAGTCCAAAAGGAAAAGTTTGGATTCATATCAACAGAATGCAAATGCAGAAGAGGGAAAGTCTCTGAGTTCATGTTAGCAGATGGTTGTTCTGAAAGTGGGATGACTTTGGCTTCAAGGAGAAATTCTTCTTCCAAGCTGCAGCAAGATACTCTTGCTTTGCTTGAGGGAGGATTTTGAATGTCAAAGGAAAGAAGAAGGAATGAGTTAATAGTGTCTAAAGTCGTTAGCTTAAAAGACCAAAACGGCAGCGTTTGATGATTAGAAAGAGGCTCGCTACATTCAACAAAGAAGCTCTTTGCATTTGGTTGATACAGACTTGTTCTTCGATTCTTCACTGCAAGCTAAAATAAAAAGATACTAGAGAGATGGGGGTTATTTTTTACTAAAGAAGAAGACTATCTAACGGCTACTATTATACTGTTGTGTTTGTTTGTAAATTTTCAGATGAGGATTCTGACAAGGATTGCCAAATCGTTCAGCAAATATGTATAAATTGTTTGTAATGTTTTGTATTCAATATACTTTTATAAATTGTTTTTCATTTTAATTGTCCTTTTTAGCTAATGCACACAGATTAGAAACTTACCAATTTTAGGAAAAAATTAGTACTTTACTAAATTACCCTTTATTGAACTACTCAAAAGTCAAAACATTCTCTCCCTCCATTAATCCATTAATATTGTCTCTTTATATCTATCTCTCCAGATCTCGGAATACTTTTCATATTTTTTTTTCAATTTTCAATTCTTTTTCCGCCAAAAAATTCAATCTAAAAATTACAAATATTATGATTTCCCACCAAAAATTGTTCTATAAAAGAAGCAATAATTCTTGAATGTTAAAATAATATAATTGAAATGGCTACAAGGAAAAGCCACCAATACCTTTACTTGAAATAGATTTAAATGGATTTTATACATACTGATGTTGATAATGGAGATAGACAAGAGGAGCCAAAAATTCATTTACAGAGAGCCACAAATTCATTTGCCATATCTAATGTTGATGTTGCAAATGTTGTTCTCGACCTTAATCTCAGTCCAAATTCTCCAACAATGGACACGTCTTCATCACCATTTCTTTTCTATAAACATTATTGTAGGATCAATAAAGGTTTAGAATCCAAAATATGGACTCTTCGCCTTTGTCATTTTTTTTTATTGTTGGAGATATACATAAGTTTTTTCCTGGAAACTGAATTTATATGTGTAGAGACTATTGTCATTATAAATTTTGGAAAGGAAAAAAATATTAAACACCACTTGAACTCAATGAGCCTAGAAAAAATACATTGGTTGACTATTAATCATGTGCACAACCATTGAGTATACAATAAAGGTAAAATTTGTAAAAAGTAATAAAAAATTTCTAAAAAGGACAATTAAAATTAAACGGAGGAGTATTGAATAAGAATTGAGGTATTTTCTTTTATTTCTCTGTTTTTGTTTTCTCGATCCTGTTAAGCTCTTGCAACTGAAGAAAGTTTTCAGTTGTTGTACATAGTACAAAATTGTTTCGTTTGGAGTCATCAACTCTTCATATCATGAGTTTAGATGGAACTTTCAAGGCTGATGTGCTGGGCATATAAACTTTTTTTTTTTTTAAAAAATATATATAAGAATATATTGAAATTCCTTGCAATTTGAAAGAATGAAGCTCTGGTTACTAGCTATAGGGGTTTTCATTACATGACTATGTATCATGTAATTGTTTTTTCTTGGTCTTCCAATGATAATTAGAGAGGAGTTCAATTTCTACAGTGAATGAAATTGAATTCAAGCAAATAAGGAATATTCAATCCTATCATCTTGGCGATATTTTATCAAAATAAAATTTCTAATTGCTTCTAGATATCTGAAGGAACTTGACTTGACCCGTTGAACTTTAAAATAGTCTTTTTTCAACAATGCCAGCTCCGCATTTAATCTGCAATCAGGACAAACTCAAAAGGTTGGCTACAGTTCAGCAATGTGAGAACCTCATTTTCTATTTATTTTTGTAAAAAAAAAATCCGAAAATCAACCCTTCGTGATGCAAAATTTTAAAGTTGATATCGTAGAATTTTCCCCAATAAACTTGGATCATTGAAAGATCATAATAATGCTTTGCCCAAAAGTCGCACGTCCTTTGGAAAAATCAAACTCCATGAAAAGTTTTAGTCTGATTATTGACATTTACATCTTATTATCAAATTTTAATAAACGATAAAAAGGGCAGCCGACTGATGCACTCTCTTGTTTAGAAAAGTAAAAGGAGACAATTTTGATTCGTAGACTAATCTTGGCCCTCATGGATTTCTTTCTATTGACCCAGGTAAAAATTGCATTTATGTCGACTGAATAATAATATATTTCTAAACGATTGGGATTAATATATATGGGAATTATACTGGAAAAATGAGAGGAAGAAACCCTTGCCTAAGTGTATACACTTCCAAGGTTTATTTCTTACATATATCACATAACCCTTAAGGAAAAAAAAAAGGAAAACAGAAGAATAATGGGATCAAGAAAGACTTGTCATGAGGTAATTTGCTAACCTTCTTCAATTATTATTCCTTAAATCTTACATTAGAATAACCATAGGATTTTACGGTTTGGACTATGTCTTGGGATTCCTTGCCACAGGTTTTGGATTAAGATTGGGTCTCCTATAATTTTGAATAAGGACTTCTTAGGTTAGGTTTATTATGAAATCAATGCCTAAACTATGATTTTTTCAAAGAATTTTTATGACACTAAGCCAATAAGAAACTTTCTTTGAAATTCGACGTGGATTTTGAGTGTTCTTATTTTTATATGTTAAATAACAATCTAAAGGAGTTTACCAAAATTCGTTTCACTAAAATATTCAAAGTACTATTTTATATCAATTTTCAAAGTTGTTGGTGTTGTACTGGAATTTCTGCGTTTTCTATACGAATAAAAGTGGTTTCACTTAAATAGGAGTTTTATACGAATTTTAATGATTTTTCAAAGTTGAACTCGTAATTACAAGATGAGAAATGCTACTCTTACAAAGAGGAATACAAAGACAAACATACAAAGATAAATCTTACCCTTAATCTTCATGATTGTCTTTCTCTCTCTTTTTTTTTTTTTCCCTTCTTTTAAGGGTATGATTTATCTTTGTATGTTTGTCTTTGTATTCCTCTTTGTAAAACTAACATTTCTCTTACAAGATTTAATTTTTGCGAAACATGATTTATTTGAAAGGGCTTTGGAACTCCAAACGACTTGTAATTTTTAATCCGATACTGTGATTATGTCTGGCTAAAACATGAAAATCTGAGAAGTTTTGGTGTTGCCATTAATTTATTAAAATTCGAAAGAGAATGGATGATTAATGAAGATTGTTCTGATCAGTGAGTAAGTAGGCAAGAATTGGGGGAGTTAATAATATTTCTCCTGATAATTTGAGGTCCTAAAATTTTGTATAAGGTTTTGATTGTGTTAATGAGGTTCTAAGTCAAAAGTCATGAAATTTAGCTAAGACTTAGTTTCCGAAAACAAAAAATACTTTAAAGTATGAAAGGTTAAAATAGCAGAATAGGAAACGTTTTGTTTGCCACATGTAATCACAAATATAATCAAACTAATAAAGAGAAAGAAAACACACATGATTTACCATAGTTTATCCAAAAAACGAGTTACATCCAGCAGAGTTAATATTAGTAGAATACTGTCTCACCTCTCTCGTTACAATGAATGTATTTACCTATGACTTGCTATCATAATCATACAAAAGAATAATAAGTTTATATAATAGGTTTAATTAAAAAAAAAAAAAAACCTAATATTACTAGGATCCCTTTTCCTGAGCCTAAATCTAATTAGAAATTTAATTACTTAGAGAAGTACTACAACGACTCTTCATGGAATAGGCCCAAACTGCCTACAGGTCCGAAGGTGCTACCTCTTACACTCCAGCGACCTATGAATGCGTCTATCTCGCCCTTTATTGTTGAAGTACTTCAACGAAAAATACATCTACATTTGGCAACATGAGCATAAGTCATATTGCATTAATTGTAAGTTTGAATGTATTTTATTTTTTTGTGAGAAAAACTAGTCTGCTTACTGACTTTTATACTTAACTACAGTTTGTTGTGAATTTCAACTGATCCCAAGTGCGTAAGGATTTATTTAAGATCGTAGAGGATTTGACAAAAGGCTTCAGTTATCCCTTGGTTTCATGAGGTCATTAAGGATATTATTTTTAGGTTTTGCTTGACTAAGAGATTAATATTTGTTCAAGTTTTAAATTGGTATGATTTTTGTTAAAGAAAAATCACTCCATTAACCCTCACGGGCGTTACAATTTTGTGGGAATATTTTGGAGCTGGAGAAATCATTTGGAATTAAATTTGTCTATGCATAGTGTCTCATTTTGGGAGAACGTGTTTTCTTTGTGAAATAGGCATCTAGTAAAGAACCCTTCATCACACTTAAGAAGAAGGATTAGAACACCTCTAACTTCGATCCTCATCAAAGCATAACATAGCATCAAATGATTTAAAGATCATGTGTCGTGTAATATGGTTTCTGAAAACATTGCTAGTCTCTCAACTTTTTCACTTCTCTGCTTCCATGAATGCCATCACACCAAACAACTCTATCAAAGATGGTGAGGTTATAGACTCTACCGAAAAAATCTTTACTCTTGGATTCTTCAGTCCGGGTAAGTCCACCAAACGATATGTTGGAATTTGGTATTATCAAGATCCTGATAAAGCCATTGTTTGGGTGGCTAATAGAGATGATCCAATCAACGATAGATCCGGGGTCCTCTCAATCAACAACGGAAACCTTGTCCTGTCTGAAAAAAACCAAACTGTTATTGTCTGGTCCACAAATGTTTCAGTCACATCCACCAGCAACACCAAAGCTCAGCTCTTAGATACAGGAAATCTTGTTTTGGTCGAACGTGACACCAAGAAGACACTATGGCAAGGTTTTGATCATCTTACTAATACTCTGATTCCGTTTATGAAACTTGGGTTGGACAGACAAAGAAGTGTGAATTGGTCCTTAACGTCTTGGAAATCCCCAGATGATCCTGGAACTGGAAACTACTCTTACCGATTCGATTCAACTGGATTTCCTCAGTTGTCATTGTACAGGGGTCCGGATAAGATATGGCGAACTGGCTCGTGGACAGGTCAAAGATTGATCGGCATACCTGAAATACAGTGGAGTAAAATTTCGTTCTCTACTTTTGAAGATAACGAAGATGAATTATCCTCAATGTACGGTGTAACTAACTCTTCAGTGAGGATAAGATTGGTACTAAATGAGTCAGGAGTTACGCAAAGGTTCTCATGGGATAAGAGATGGATTCAGTTTGCTTCTGCCCCAATGGAGCAGTGTGATTATTATGGGAATTGTGGCGCCAACATTAACTGTAACCCGTATAATGTTGGAAATGTAGACTTTGAGTGCACGTGCCTACCTGGGTATGAACCCGAGAATCCACAATCATGGTTCTACAGAGACGGGTCGGATGGGTGCAGAAGAAAGCAAGGTATGTCCACGTGTCAAAAAGGAGAAGGATTTGTTAAGGTGGCACGTTTGAAGGTGCCGGATACAAATGTCACACATGTGGACTTGAGTTTGGGGTTGAAGGAATGTGAAAGAAAGTGCTTGAGCAATTGTAGTTGCTTAGCTTACACAAGTGCATATGCTGAAAGTGAGGGAGGAGCTACTGGATGCTTGACATATCATGGGAATATGATGGATGCGAGAACATATACAAATACTGGTCAAGATTTCTATGTTCGTGTTAATGCAACTGAGTTAGGTACATTTTTACTTAGAAATTTCAACTATTTATGATCTTTTATCGGAAACCAATTCATTTGGTACCATCAATATGCATTGTTTTTATTTTGCTCAGCACTTTATAAGAAGAATGGTTCACTACTTGCCAAGAAGACAATTGTGATACTTTCTTTAGTGGCATTGCTTTTCCCGATAACCTTGATGTTTTTATTCTTCCGAAGGAAGAAAAAGAGTAAGCCAATCTATTTTCACTCGTTTCCTTTTCTTGTATTCTGCTTTATATTTTTACAATTTTGCCCAAAATGTTTTGTCAAACATTATACTGTATTTTTTCATTTGTTTGATGGCAGGGAAGGCAAAATACAGGACATCTTCATTTAACTTGGCTGCAAGTTCAACATACTTAGATGACTCTTTTGATATTCAAGAACAAGATGGGAATACAAGAGATCCAGATTTACCAATGTTTGACCTTAGAACCATTGTTGCGGCTACAGATAATTTCTCTACTGATAACAAACTTGGAGAAGGTGGTTTTGGCTCTGTTTATAAGGTAATGGATCTCCCTAATCTATTTCTGTTTGTATGGCCATACCAAGAAATAGTAAATATTAAAGCATATTGAAATAGATGCGCATTATGTTCGTGAATTGATTGCAGCTTAGTAATTGATTGTTCAGTTTGTTCCTTCTAAGTTTCAATTGACATATTTACTAACAAACCTTTATTAGTGGCCAGATTTGTTCAATTGAGAGACAAATTACTTATCTCTTGTTTGCATACTTTACAGGATTTATGTCAGCAGGATGACATTTCAACAGGGAGTTAGCAAACTAACAGTCCAAAAGGAGAAAGTTTGGATTCATATCAACAGAATGCAAATGCAGAAGAGGGAAAGTCTCTGAGTTCATGTTAGCAGATGGTTGTTCTGAAAGTGGGATGACTTTGGCTTCAAGGAGAAATTCTCTTCCAAGCTGCAGCAAGATACTCTTGCTTTGCTTGAGGGAGGATGTTGAATGTCAAAGGAAAGAAGAAGGAATGAGTTAATAGTGTCTAAAGTCGTTAGCTTAAAAGACCAAAACGGCAGCGTTTGATGATTAGAAAGAGGCTCGCTACATTCAACAAAGAAGCTCTTTGCATTTGTTGATACAGACTTGTTCTTCGATTCTTCACTGCAAGCTAAAATAAAAAGATACTAGAGAGATGGGGTTATTTTTTACTAAAGAAGAAGACTATCTAACGGCTACTATTATACTGTTGTGTTTGTTTGTAATTTTTCAGATGAGGATTTCTGACAAGGATTGCCAAATCGATTCAGCAAATATGTATAAATTGTTTGTAATGTTTTGTATTCAATATACTTTTATAAATTGTTTTTCATTTTAATTGTCCTTTTTAGCTAATGCACACAGATTAGAAACTTACCAATTTTAGGAAAAAATTAGTACTTATGACTAAATTACCCTTTATTGAACTACTCAAAAGTCAAAACATTCTCTCCCTCCATTAATCCATTAATATTGTCTCTTTATATCTATCTCTCCAGATCTCGGAATACTTTTCATATTTTTTTTTCAATTTTCAATTCTTTTTCCGCCAAAAAATTCAATCTAAAAATTACAAATATTATGATTTCCCACCAAAAATTGTTCTATAAAAGAAGCAATAATTCTTGAATGTTAAAATAATATAATTGAAATGGCTACAAGGAAAAGCCACCAAATACCTTTACTTGAAATAGATTTAAATGGATTTTATACATACTGATGTTGATAATGGAGATAGACAAGAGGAGCCAAAAATTCATTTACAGAGAAGCCACAAATTCATTTGCCATATTAATGTTGATGTTGCAAATGTTGTTCTCGACCTTAATCTCAGTCCAAATTCTCCAACAATTGGACACGTCTTCATCACGCATTTCTTTTCTATAAACATTATTGTAGGATCAATAAAGGTTTAGAATCCAAAATATGGACTCTTCGCCTTTGTCATTTTTTTTTATTGTTGGAGATATACATAAGTTTTTTCCTGGAAACTGAATTTATATGTGTAGAGACTATTGTCATTAATAAATTTTGGAAAGGAAAAAAATATTAAACACCACCTTGAACTCATGAGCCTAGAAAAAATACATTGGTTGACTATTAGATCATGTGCACAACCATTGAGTATACAATAAAGGTAAAATTTGTAAAAAGTAATAAAAAAATTTCTAAAAAGGACAATTAAAATTAAACGGAGGGAGTATTGAATAAGAATTGAGGTATTTTCTTTTATTTCTCTGTTTTTGTTTTCTCGATCCTGTTAAGCTCTTGCAACTGAAGAAAGTTTTCAGTTGTTGTACATAGTACAAAATTGTTTCGTTTGGAGTCATCAACTCTTCATATCATGAGTTTAGATGGAACTTTCAAGGCTGATGTGCTGGGCATATAAACTTTTTTTTTTTTTTAAAAAATATATATAAGAATATAGTGAAATTCCTTGCAATTTGAAAGAATGAGCTCTGGTTACTAGCTATAGGGGTTTTCATTACATGACTATGTATCATGTAATTGTTTTTTCTTGGTCTTCCAATGATAATTAGAGAGCGAGTTCAATTTCTACAGTGAATGAAATTGAATTCAAGCAAATAAGGAATATTCAATCCTATCATCTTGGCTGATATTTTATCAAAATAAAATTTCTAATTGCTTCTAGATATCTGAAGGAACTTGACTTGACCCGTTGAACTTTAAAATAGTCTTTTTTCAACAATGCCAGCTCCGCATTTAATCTGCAATCAGGACAAACTCAAAAAGGTTGGCTACAGTTCAGCAATGTGAGAACCTCATTTTCTATTTATTTTTGTAAAAAAAAAATCCGAAAAATCAACCCTTCGTGATGCAAAATTTTAAAGTTGATATCGTAGAATTTTCCCCAATAAACTTGGATCATTGAAAGATCATAATAATGCTTTGCCCAAAAGTCGCACGTCCTTTGGAAAAATCAAACTCCATGAAAAGTTTTAGTCTGATTATTGACATTTACATCTTATTATCAAATTTTAAATAAACGATAAAAAGGGCAGCCGACTGATGCACTCTCTTGTTTAGAAAAGTAAAAGGAGACAATTTTGATTCGTAGACTAATCTTGGCCCTCATGGATTTCTTTCTATTGACCCAGGTAAAAATTGCATTTATGTCGACTGAATAATAATATATTTCTAAACGAATGGGATTAATATATATGGGAATTATACTGGAAAAATGAGAGGAAGAAACCCTTGCCTAAGTGTATACACTTCCAAGGTTTATTTCTTACATATATCACATAACCCTTAAGGAAAAAAAAAAGGAAAACAGAAGAATAATGGGATCAAGAAAGACTTGTCATGAGGTAATTTGCTAACCTTCTTCAATTATTATTCCTTAAATCTTACATTAAATAACCATAGGATTTTACGGTTTGGACTATGTCTTGGGATTCCTTGCCACAGGTTTTGGATTAAGATTGGGTCTCCTATAATTTTGAATAAGGACTTCTTAGGTTAGGTTTATATATGAAATCAATGCCTAAACTATGATTTTTCAAAGAATTTTTTATGACACTAAGCCAATAAGAAACTTTCTTTGAAATTCGACGTGATTTTGAGTGTTCTTATTTTTATATGTTAAATAACAATCTAAAGGAGTTTACCAAAATTCGTTTCACTAAAATATTCAAAGTACTATTTTATATCAATTTTCAAGTTGTTGGGTTGTACTGGAATTTCTGCGTTTTCTACGAATAAAAGTGGTTTCACTTAAATAGGAGTTTTATACGAATTTTAATGATTTTTCAAAGTTGAACTCGTAATTCAAGATGAGAAGCTACTCTTACAAAGAGGAATACAAAGACAAACATACAAAGATAATCTTACCTTAATCTTCAGATTGTCTTTCTCTTTTTTTTTTTTCCTTCTTTTAAGGGTATGATTTATCTTTGTATGTTGTCTTTTATTCCTCTTGTAAAACTAACATTTCTCTACAAGATTTAATTTTTGCGAAACATGATTTTTGAAAGGGCTTTGGAACTCCAAACGACTTGTAATTTTTAATCCGATACTGTGATTATGTCTGGCTAAAACATGAAAATCTGAGAAGTTTTGGTGTTGCCATTAATTTATTAAAATTCGAAAGAGAATGGATGATTAATGAAGATTGTTCTGATCAGTGAGTAAGTAGCAAGAATTGGGGAGTTAATAATATTTCTCCGTATAATTTGAGGTCCTAAAATTTTGTATAAGGTTTTGATTGTGTTAATGAGGTTCTAAGTCAAAAGTCATGAAATTTAGCTAAGACTTAGTTTCCGAAAACAAAAAATACTTTAAAGTATGAAAGGTTAAAATAGCAGATAGGAACGTTTGGTTGCCACATGTACACAAATATAATCAAACTAATAGAGAAAAAAACACATGATTTACCATAGTTTATCCAAAAAACGAGTTACATCCACAGAGTTAATATTAGTAGAATACTGTCTCACCTCTCTCGTTACAATGAATGTATTTACCTAGACTTGCTATCATAATCATACAAAAAATATAGTTTATATAATAGGTTTAATTAAAAAAAAAAAAAAACCTAATATTACTAGGATCCCTTTTCCTGAGCCTAAATCTAATTAGAATTAATTACTTGGAGAAGTCTACAACGACTCTCATGGAATAGGCCCAAACTGCCTACGTCCGAAGGGTTTGTTAGGTTACATCAGATCCCTAGAAAAGAAATTAGTTACACATGCTCATAAGGAAATCAAACCTCAAACCCTTCAAAAACATGAAGTACAAGAGAAAAAGATGAAACCCTAGGTAGATCTCTTCTCCTTGCCTCCAATTCTCTCCAAGTTTAAGTCTCTTCTCCTTACTTCTCTCAAAGTTTTTGTCTCCCCAAAAAATACCTAAAGACATCCTTTTATAGTGCTAGGGTTGTGGGAAAGTAATGGGAAAAATCTTATACAAAATAGGAGAATAAAATTCCAATTAATCTTAAGTTGAGTCCTTATAGAATTATGATTCTTGTGTTAACCCTTTGGTACTAAAACAAGAATATCTTCCTCTGGAAATCTCATAATAACAAACCGTAAAATTCTAGGTAAACTAGACTTCCAAATCTTTACAAAAATATGTGGCACAACTCTCATTTCATGCTGACGAATTTATGGTAGCTTCTCCGTTTTCTATCAATTTCTCCTTAATAGTTGATGTTGGAATATTGTGCGTCAAAAGACTTCCACTTTTTAGCATGAAAATTTATGAATCTGATGAAGCCATAACATATTAATTGTAGCTTTTTGAATCATATTTCCAATGGTTCAAGAATAATCCAAATCTGAGGTCTTTAGCTCAAGTTATCATAGCAATATTGTGGCACGTTCTAGAACCCGCGTCTGCTTATCATCTATGCACTGATGCAACTTTAGGATCAATGTTTATCCATCTTTTTGGTTGAACTAGATATGAAAAAGGAATAAAAGTTATAGAGCTATCCCTTAGATTTTAAACCCCACTAGAATTAGGTCAATTCGAGTTGCGTAGCTAAAGTTACACCCATTTTAGTGCATAGCATGCTCACTCACGCCACAACACAAAAATCCTCCTCTGCGAACAATCTTCAAATATTCATAACTTCTTCGTTTGAGCTCCAATTCTCAAACCGTTTATTCCTGTATGATTTTGATTCTTTACTCTACAACGTGCATGCTCGAAATCCTCATTTTTCAGCACCTAAATACTTGAAATTCATAAAACATACCTGTGATTCTAGAAAACAAAAGAAGTACTAAAATTAAATAAAATTAGCAAATTAAACCTTTTTCCCACACAACATACCCTTAAAATCACAAAGTATGAGTACGCTTCCAAGCACTCACCAGGATGCAATGCAGTTAGGGAATGATGCCCTAGTTAAAAATGGCACATGGAAGTTAGTTCCATATGAATCTGACATGACTATTGTTGATAATAAGTGGGTGTTCTAGGTGAAATACAACGCT